TTGCATATGGGTAATTCCACAGTATTTTGGACATAAAGCTTTAAGAAATAAAATTGACTAAAAGGACTATTAAGCTCTATTTCTGTACTGGTTAAATGCCAAATTTGTATAAAATGATACTTTTGAGATGTCAGCACTGTAATTTTGTGTCATAAATTATCATAAATTAACCTTGATACCAAAAAAGCTGTCACGGAGGGGACATACACTAAATAAATATTGTAGATCTGTCTTGAGAAGAAATCTAATAATAACTGTCAGGACATTAAGTTGTTTACCCAGACTTCCTATGTTATTAAATTTGTTTCTTGGCTTTGTGCGGAAGAGATGTAATGCTTTGTCCAACATTGAATTGTCCCCTCCGTGACAAAAATACCCACAAAAATTATGATCTTTCTAAAATAAATGGGGATAACTGCAGAAACTTCTGTTAATTATTGAAGTATGGGCTGACAAACTCAAAAGTGGTAAAGAGTTTCTTCCACTTCTTTTTCCTTTTAATTACTTTAAAAAGATAAAAATGTCACGGAGGGGAACTTTTGTCACAGAGGGGACTATTCTGTCACATAGGGGACATTACTGTCACAGAGGGGACATCACTGTAATGAAGAAAAATTATCTGTCACTGAAGATAAATGCGATGCAACAAACTATACTCTCCCCACTTAAAAGAGAAATTAATGTAACTATTGAGTTTAAACTTCAAGTTAATTTATGTCAAAAGTGGATGTGAGAAGAACACTTTTACTGTCAAAGAAAGAGTTGCACATTTCATGACTAATGCATGAACAAAAAGTAAAGGATTCTGGGATTGTAGGCTCTGAGCATGATCACCACAGCACTGGCAGTTGCTTTAGAGCTGAAATGAGTTCTAAAGAGAGGACAAAGAAACACAGAGAAAGATTGAAAGAAAATTATGAAAATTATGAGATGGTTAAAAAGAAAGATTGAGACCGAAATTTCATGTTGATCATTTATTATCTTTTTACCCCTCAATTCATCAAGAACAAAAAACACTTTTTCTATATGAGTGCAGCTGGCAGTTTTTTCAAGCCCACCCACCAAAGAGCTGTCTGTAAGATGTGGAGTGCATTGCGTGTGGCAGATAATCAGCCTAGTCCAGGGGACTGGTCCTTTCATGTAAACAGTTCTAAGGATATACAGCAACAAGAAACAGATTATGATTGTGGTGTGTTTGTTTGCATGTTTGCAAGAGCCCTTGCTCTTTCCTGTCCTCTTGTTCTTAACAAGGACATGGTGGATATAAGGAAATACATTATTCATGATCTCCATGTTCAACATCTCAGCCCAGTACCATCTAAGGGGGTTGAGGTGGGGATGTACTTTGCTGTAGACTATGTCACAACTTTTTACTTTGGCCGGGTGATTTCTGTGGAAGATGGCTTTGTAGAATTCAAGTTCTAACACAGCATAAGCTCTGCCACCTATGACTGGCCAAGATGAGATGACGTGGACAGGGTACTTTGCAGTTGTATTTTTATGGTCCTGTAATGCTGGAAGGCAATCACCCATTGACATTTTCAGTGCAAGGTGAAGTTGAGAAAGTGCACCTGTTTTTCAAAAAGCAGGACTGATTCTGAGCACAAGAAAGCGTATGATAACTGTCTGTCTTTTACAGCATTTATGAAAATGAGATTTGAGCTTTTGGGAGGTTTATTCACTTAGAGTGTACAGGATTTTAGACTACTTTAGTATGAACTGGATATTGTCAACAGTTAGCTGTACAACTGTACATGTCAAGTATTAAAACTTGTAAGTCGTTATCACCTCTGAGTCTGTGGCACTTTTGTTCAATATTCAGCTTATATAATTATTATATTTACATCTTGCATATCATGCATGCATGCATATTTGCAATCTACAATGCAGTTTTAAGCCTTTTTATTAAGAGAGAGAGACAAACACACAAAACCTTGAAATATCTGAGTTGCTTACATTTTTAGTTATACATGTAAGTTTTAAAAATGTTGTATATGTTTTTGTATGCACCAGGTCTTATTGAACCATTGGTGTTATCTTGAGTACTTTAAATGAACCTAAAGTTTCCAAATAAAAACTAAAAAAAAGAAAAAAACATGAAGGTTTTTTTAAGAAATGTGTTGTATCATATGAACAAACAGCATGACACAACTTTCCAGAATACTTTCCAGCCATAAATTAAATGTCTTTAAAGGCTTGACGACACGTACGACAGCCAACCTTTTTGATGTGGTCAAGCTTTAAAGAATATCTTGAAAAGAATTGAATTAAACTGGGGCTGTAAACTCATATTAAGGCTGGAAAATTGGTTCAAATTGATCACTGCTGCCTATTGGACAAAAGGTCCCCTCCGTGACATATTGGT